CGTTATACAATTTTGGAAATTTGAAACGATCTAGTGGACTTTTTTTGATAAATTTTTAACGTTGTTAACCATTTGATAAATAATAATAAAGGAAATTTTAATTTGTATTTAATAAAACAGTAAAAGTGTCCAATAGGAAATTTTAATTTGTATTTAATAAAGCAATAAAAAGTGTCCAATCGGAAATATTAATTTGTATTTAATAAAACAATAAAAGTGTCCAATCGGAAATTTTAATTTGTATTTAATAAAACAATAAAAAATAAAAGCATCATCCAATTGGAAATTTTAATTTGTATTTAATAAAACGGGACCGGTCACTTTACCGACAGGACGCTTGTCGGTAAAGTGGTTGTCGGTAAAGTGTCTTGTCGGTAAAGTGTCTTGTCGGTAGGGTGGATGTCTACGTTGTGCGTGAAAATCAAATGTGTTAATTTGAAATTTACCAATTAAATTTTGGGGTGGGTGTTTGAATACAACATATCAACCGATTTGGTTTTTGAGCCTTTTTTCAAACCTTATGTCTTATTGTGTCTCGATGTTAAACACGAGTATTTTTAATGTGTAAACTGGTCGGTAGAATGATAATTACCCTAAAAAAAATTATTTGCTCCGCTAAAAAAACTAATTTACTATCCATCAACCCGTCAAACCAATGGCCCCACCTCAAAACCAATGGGTTTTTGCTAGTATAAAGTATTCATAACGTTATGATCATACCGTACTGGATTTTGGGGTTCAAACAAAATCAGCACATATGACTAAATTTGTCATCCTGGGCCATTTTAAAAGCTATGGGCATGAAATTTTGTCAAGATATCTTTAAAAAAATGGATTAAAAAAAAAGTTTGATAGTGTTACTTTTTACTTTTATATATTACGTGTAACCTCCTTAATGGGTGTAAAAACAGTCCTTATGGAGGTAAAAATGACATAGATTTATGAGGTTTTGGTGTCAAAAGATTTCTTTCATTAAAAGAAACATACATATTTTACTATGTTGTTGGATGGCATTGACTTTGATGAACATGTGGTTAGGTATTGTGTAAAGTTTCACAACATGTATGATGATAGTTCATTTATAATTACCCCGGTATCCTGTCTGGCTCTAAAAATTTTATTATGGTTGAAAATCGCTTGCTATATGAAAAACGGAGAAGTGAACGATAATAATTTTATTCGTGTAACATTTATATTGAATTACGCTTGATCTGCAATGTCCTGCGACTAATAAGAATTTCTTAATTGGGACAGTAGTTTTTGCACTGATGTCATCCTTGGCAGCGTCATTATTGGGTCATCATTTCTATTCTTTATTGGATTAATATTATTATTAGTCTTTATAAATATATAGTAGTGATTTCCAAGGAGTTCATTATAAATAAAGGCAATTTTGTTTTTTGTTGTTTAGATTGCATTTTTCTTGCCAACTACACGAACAAAAAACATGGCAGAATATTCAACGTATGATATTTTTTCATTGATTTTTGCATTTTTCTTACCACCAGTTGGTGTATTTATGAAAAGAGGTTTGGCGGCTGATTTTTGGTAAATCTGGGTTTTTTATTTTGTGGGTATTCTTTAGTGAACATATAAATTGTTGGTAACATTTTTATTTCATTATTAATTTTTTAGGATTAATATTGGTTTGACTATTCTTGGTAAGATTTAATAAATAAATAATTGACATAATTTTCCTTTAAATTCATTGACAAGCTCTTCTCGTAATAATTTATGGGAAATAGGCATTCATGATGCATGTTATATATTTGAAAGGT